GGTTTATATGTGACATACAGTCCGAATATAGCTATCAACATTTAAAAGTAAATATATCACTTCCATCAAAGGCAAAAAATTAGAATAATTAAAAGAAATAAAAATGCTAGAGGGATGTCCTTGTTAACCCAGGTTAGAAAAAATGTATCTCAAAACATTGGGAATATTCAATATTCATTTGTTAAAAAAAAAATTAAGCAATATCTACCAATATTTTTATGTATCCAAATGTGAAGAAATTTGCTTTGCTTTCTTGTGTTAATGTTATTTTAATTGCCACTTAATTCCATCCCAACTGCAAGAGAATAAATTCTGGATTGTATGACAGTGTCCGGATTTGATTTTTGTGTCGGAGTATTTGTCGGCGGCAGCTGCATCGTCCAAAAGAAGGTTTCCGTGCGATAACTTGAGGATCTGAAGGTCAAAGGTCAAGGTCACTGTTACTATAAATAAACAATCTGTTTCCGTGCGATAACTTGAGTTCCCTTGAGTTGATTGAACTTCATACAGTGCTTTCTTATACTAAAAGTGCTTGCTTGGAATTGCTTCTCATGTCCAAAGGTTGAAGGTCAAGGTCACCCTTACTATAAATAGAAAATCTGTTTCCGTGCGATAAATTCAATTTCTTTAGGTTGATCGAGCTCAGACTTCATACAGTGCTTCTTTTCCAATAGCGCTTGATTGGAATTGCTTTTCATGTACGAAGGTCAAAGTTCAAGGTCACTCTTACTATAAATAGAAAATCTGTTTCCGTGCGATAACTTGAGTTTCTTTAGGTTGATCAAGCTCAGACTTAATACAGTGCTTTTTCTTACCAATAGTGCTTGCTTGGGATTGCAAAGGTCAATGTCGCCATTACTATAAATATAAACCTGTTTAACAACAAACAGCTCTTATGTGACTGTTTAATGTTTATACCCACTGTCATTACATACCAATTTGCAACTAGCCCCCACTGGGTGCGGGATCACTTATGTAATAGCCTAACAGTTGTCACATTGGTGAGCATCGGCCGGCCATTCACAACTTTCACACCTTTGCTGCTAATCGGCCTGGTCTTTTAATTAAGTGTCTGGTCTGTGATTTAAGACCTCTCAGTGACCAAGGTCCGTGTGAATCCATGTATAGCTTTCGCTTATTCACTAAGATTGACCAAACATTGTTTCTTTTCGTGAGGCTGATTGAAATTCGTGAGAAATGTGTCTCAAGCCGTGGGGAATATTTCTGCAGTAATTTTTGTGAGTCTCACACTCAAATCGTTAGATATGGCATGTATGTGAAGTGCTCTAACCAAACACTAGATCTACCCTGTTAAAATCTCTGATATTCCTGATATTCTAATTAGACTGCTAATCCCTATATGTATATAAAGATTCGGCCTTTCCTACATTGTATCTACATTAATAACTCAATATATTACATCTTCAATCGAAAAAATGTACTTGTTAAGCCCCTTAAGGTATTTTATACAAGTTCATGTCAGTTTATATAGTATGTGATGGACTCACAACTTTTCCTCAAAATGAAAAAAATATGGAAGTTGGTTGGTATACCTATATCAAGAAAAATGTCATTAATGACCTCAGCAGAAATTATTTGTCAAAATATTGTTGCTTTTGAGTGAAAAGTAACTTTTGAATGCAGAATGTGGATGGGCTTACCCATCTGGAGAGTGATTGGGAAGGAGGTGTTTGTAGAAAGGGGCAACGGCCAACAGGTTTACCCCTCTGGAGAGTGATTGGGAAGGAGGAGTGTGTAGAAAGGGGTAACGGCCAACAGGTTTACCCGTCTGGAGAGTGATTGGGAAGGAGGGGTGTGTAGAAAGGGGGAACGGCCAACAGGTTTACCCCTCTGGAGGGTGATTGGGAGGGAGGGGTGTGTAGAAAGGGGGAACGGCCAACAGGTTTACCCCTCTGGAGAGTGATTGGGAGGGAGGGGTGTGTAGAAAGGGGTAACGGCCAACAGGGTTACCCCTCTGGAGAGTGATTGGGAAGGAGGGGTGTGTAGAAAGGGGTAACGGCCAACAGGTTTACCCCTATGGAGACTGATTGGGAAGGAGGGGTGTGTAGAAAGGGGTAACGGCCAACAGGTTTACCCATCTGGAGAGTGATTGGGAAGGAGGGGTGTGTAGAAAGGGGTAGCGGCCAACAGGTTTACCCCTATGCAACACGGAAAGGTGTGTTAACTACATGTAGAATATGTCTGTTTGTCTGTTTGTCGGTCTGTCCATCTCTCCGTGGATACAATCTTGTCAAGAAAAGTCCTCCCAAACATTTCACCCGATTTCAACATAAATTGATGTGGATGATTGTAACATTCTGTTATGTCACTGTTACCTCTTTACATAATGATTTCTGGAGCAAACTGTAAAGCGAAATATACTTGGCAATCATTAAATCAGAAGATTTTGATCTAAAATGTTGAACTTTGTTGCTATTTGGCGATGTGCCATTATAAGCAGAGGTTTAATTCATTTGGCACTAAATTTCATTGCATCGTCTGCACGTTAAGGATTTGTAATTCTATTTGCTGTCTGTACATAGGTACATTTAATGTCTAGGAGCACTCCCAGCGGAAGTAATCAGTCTCTCTTAACAGTTTCCGAGACAATATGACATAACAACCAGTAATATAACGCGTCTATGAACAGTGACATGCAGTGCAAAACTTTTCCTTAATTACAGTAATGAGGTCAAAGGTCAACTTTAAGTAATAGTTTGCTATCATTTTATTTACAAGCATTTTTACAAAGCAGGTCCTTAAATGTTAATCAAAGCAAGTTGGTACAAACATAATAACTGACAAGAGGACACTACACTTTAGTCATTATCATTGGAAAGTTGCATTTCAAAATGTGGTTTATGTACAGTTTATTTTGCTAAGTCTGCTTAGGGGCAGATGATCCTGAGCTCAGTTGAAAGCCCAGCGGTACTATTTAATGTTAGTACTAGAATAGGTACCAGATATAAGGAACCCATCATAGCAGAATTAGAAATATTGGAAACATTTTATTCTTGTTTGAAACCTTTGCAATGTATTTCTGGCCATCAAGGTATGGACCAGCCAGATCGCGATATAGAAGCTCCCCGGTTACTTTCTTGTATATACATGTAGTATCTCAGTTGGTGTTAATAAATTGGCGTCAAACATTTAAAAGGCTTCCTGAAACAAATTCGCTGTGACCTCAATTTGGCCTTGACCTCGATTACTGAAATAATGGTCCAGGGCATAACATTTCTGTTGTATCAGGAATGGACATCAAGCTTTTTGAAGTAAATACATCTTGAGAAGGTGTTGTCGCATAATTTTTAGCTCACCTGGCGTCCAGCCTCAATATTTTACTTTAAACAACTTCTTTTTAATAACCGCAAGGCTTAGGGTGATCATATTTGGCCAGTAGCATGCTGGGATGAAGGGCTACCAAGTTTGTTCAAATAGATGACCTTCACTCATATTCAAGGTCACAGGGGTCAAATATGTTAAAAACTTTAAACAACCGAAAGGTGCAGGATGATGATATTTGGCCCATAACATGATGAGATGAAGGGCTAATAAGTTTGTTCAAATGAATGACCTTGCCATCTATTCAAGGTCACAGGGATCGAATATGTTCAAAATCTTTAAACAACTTCTTCTGAATAACCAAAAGGCCAAGGATGTTGATATTTAGCCAGTAGCATGCTAGGATAAAGGGCTACACAGTTTGTTCAAATGAATGACCTTGAATTATGTTCAAGGTCACAGGGATCAAATATGTTTAAACTATATAAATGACATCTTCTGAATAACCAAAAGACACAGGGTGTTGCTGTTTCAGCCAGTAGCATGCTAGGATGAAGGGCTACCAACTTCAATGAAGGACCTTCACTCATTTTCAAGGTCACATGGGGTCAAATGTCTGGAAAAAACTTCAAACAAATTCTGCTGAATAACCAAAAGGACCAGGATGTTGATATTTGGTCAGTAGCAGACTAGGATGAAGGGCTACAAAGTTTGTCTAAATGAATGACCTTGACTTATGTTTAAGGTCACAGGGGTCAAATATGTTTTAAAGTTTTAAACAACTTCTTCTGAATAATCAAAAGGTGCAGGATGTTGATATTTAGCAAGTAGCATGCTTGGATGAAGGGCTATCAAGCATTTTAATTTTGATTAACCTTGACCCACTTTCAAGGTCACATATTTGGTCATTTATCTTAAATTGACCTTATCTTAAACAAAAGGATAGAGTGGTGATATTTTGCAAGTTGCATCTTGAGATGAAGGGCTGTAAAATTTGTTCAGCGTAATGACCTTATTGGACTTTTAAGGTCACAGGAGTGAAATGGTATTTATACGCCCGTCAAATTTGACGGAAGTATTATGGTATGGGGTTGTCCGTCCGCCGTAATCTTTGTCTGGCTGTCTTCTCCTACATTTTTCGACCGATCTCTTTGAATCTTACTATACATTAAAATCATGATATGAAGTTGTGTCTCCCTTAAAAGAATTTTAATTCAACAATTTTTCCAAAAGTTATTGCCCTTTGTTCATTTCAGTATTTTATTTTTTTGTCCGGAGATTTTCTTCTACATTTTTTATAGCATGTCAGCTAACCACTCTTAGAATGATGCAGATCCTATTTCAATGTTAGAAAGTATATAACACTATATGGCATTCGACGGGCGGATATTTTATCATTGTGTCTTCCGATTCCAAAACTGTCTCCTCCAATATGTCTGTGTCGATTTTCTTGTCTCGGATGTGGTCTCGTCTTTCCATATTTTCATCTGGTTGACAATTTCGTCCACCATCATAAGAGGTTTTTTTTCCATTGATCAATGAGTTACCATTGTGTCTAATAAATGTCCTATTCAACTATTTAAGGCAGAGACAGCAGCAGATAAACTAGCAGCAGCAGCAGCAGCAGCAGCAGCAGCAGCAATATACGGTAGGAATAGCTGACAATGTGGAAAATCCTTGCAATGTTACTATTACTGTTGTTGGTCACAACAGAGTTGGAAAGCCTTGTTTCGTCCAACAACTCAAGCAGGAAGATATTTCGGAAGGTGGACCTGGCTTGACGGATACCGCTGATGTGAATGTCAATTATTTAGGCTACAACCCCGACAACGAGTTCAGACAGCAACTGGATGAAGATGGAGTTGTGAATTGAGACTGGTCATCAGCAACTAAAACAGATAATTGATTGATACCGAAAAGGTGAAAAAACTCATGCTAAACCATCTGCAAGCACACCACAATAACTCGATGACAAACTTTGGGCAGCAGTACGAACTATTTTCGCATCTGTGTTATCCGCTGGGGAAAAGACAGGTAGCTGGAAAGACATATTTTAATAGACATATGTACAAATTATCATAGGCTATTGATTGCATAATTTAATTGTGCGTTTCTTTTTTTTGTTCAGTATAATAAAGATGTTGGATAAAACATAACTTATTAAAGAACATATTAAGCAAAGCACCATCAACATAGTGCCTCAAAAATCGTTCACGATTTCAAACAATACTGCTCCAAAAGTAGGGGAATGGTTTACTTATAAGGTATATTGATAATCCAATTACTATGTATGTGCTTCTGGGATAACGTTAATTTTGTGTTGTGTTATAGTTACTGTACCGTCAATGAGATAATGATATTTTCTTTACAGGTTTCACACAGAAGCTGAAAAAGTTATTCTTGAAATTGTTACCTAAAAGAAAAAAACAAAAGGTAAGCTGTCTTTGATCACACAACTACGGTAACGTATAATGACTTACCTCCTTCACCTATAAATAAACAGATGCATGGTAGTACTTGTGTAAATATCATTAGGGAATTATTTACGCTGCTAACGTGTATATTTAAATGAAATGCATACTTCCTAATGGGATTGATCAGTGTACCATCAGGAATTATTGAGGACTGTATACCGGAAAATTATGCCGTTGTTTAAAAAGTCTGTTTTGCCCTCAGCAATGACGGCAAATTTATCATAACAGGGAATATTGGTATAAGATATACACTGTATTATACCTCAATGTGAATAACAAAATACAATCTTCCAGTTACAGAACAAAAATCAAAATATTGCACATAAATCCTTCCTTTTTAGCTCACCTGGTCCGAAGTAGCATCATTGGGCCGGGGGCTCTAAATTTTGTATAAACGGTTGATGCGCCCGGACTGGGGGCAGAGGAGCAGGGCTCATTAGGGGAAATAGAGGTAAATCCTGTAAAGTCATTTAAAATCCTTCTCCTACCATAGGGATTATGGGATTTATCCCAATTTGGACAGGAGCATCCATGGGCCAAAGGCACTGAATTTTGTATAAACAGTGGGTGTGGCCCCCCCACAGGGCAAATAAGCGGGGCCCTATAGTGGAAAAAGAAGTAAAATCTTTGAAGTCCTTCTTCTACAGTAGGAATAAAGGGATTTTATTCTAATTTAGTTTGAAGCGTCCTTGGACCAAGGTGACTCAATTTTGTATAAATCGTGGATGTACCCCCTCTCTAGAGAGGTCCGAACCCGCGCCGGGCCCAATAGGGGAAATAGAGTTAATGCCTTTAAACTCTCTATCCTACCCTAAGGATTAAGGAATTTCATCCGAATTTGGTCTGGAACATCCTTTTGCCAAGGAAACTCAATTTTGTATAAACAGTGGATGTGGCCCCGCTGGGGGCAGAGGAGTGGGGCCCAATAGGGGGAATAGAGGTAATACATTTGAAATCCTTCTCCTTCCTTAGTGATTAAGGGAGTTTATCCAAATTTGGCTAGGAGCATCCTTGGGCTAAAGTCACTCAGTTTTGTATAAACGATGGGTGTGGCCCCTTGAGGCAGAGGAGCAGGACTCAATAATCCTTCTTTTACCATAGGTATAAAGGGATTTTATTAAAATTTGGCCTGAAGCATCTTTTGGCCAAGGGGACTAAATTTTGTATAAACGGTTGGTGTTGCCCCTTTTGGTAATCTGTTTATAGTATATCCTTACAGGTTTTTAGCTCACCTTACCCAAATTGCCATATGAACTTATGCCGTACTGTGGTGTCCATCGTCTAGCGTCCGTCATCCGTCTGTCAATTTTTAGCTCACCTTGGCCTGAAGGATTTGATTAAATAAATGACCTTCACCAATATTCAAGGTCACATGGGTCAAATATGTTAAAAACTTTAAACGACTTCTTCTGAATAACCAAAATGCCCATGGTGATGATATGTGTCTATAGTAGCATGCTGGGATGAAGGGCTACCAAGTTTGTTCCAATGAATGACATTCACTCATATTCAAGGTCACAGGGTCCGAATATGTTTAAAACTTTAAACAACTTCTGAACAACCAAAAAATGCAGGATGATGATATTTGGCCCATAACATGATGAGATGAAGGGCTACCAAGTTTGTTCAAATGAATGATCTTGACATTTATTCAAGGTCACAGGGAACGAATATGTTCATAATCTTTAAACAACTTCTTCTGAATAACCAAAAGGCCAAGGATGTTGATATTTGGCCAGTAGCAAGCATAAAGGGCTACACAGTTTGTTCAAATGAATGACCTTGAATTATATTCAAGGTCACAGGGGTTATATGTTTAAACTCTTTAAATGACATCTTCTGAATAACCAAAAGACACCGGGTGTTGATGATTAGCCAGTAGCATACTAGGATGAAGGGCTACCAACTTCAATGAATGACCTTCACTCATTTTCAAAGTCACAGGGGTCAAATGTCTAAAAAAAAAAAGCAGACTAGGATGAAGGGCTACAAAGTTTGTTTAAATGAATGACCTTGACTTATGTTTAAGGTCACAGGGGTCAAATATGTTTTAAACTTTTAAACAACTTCTGAATAATCAAAAGGTGCAGGATGTTGATATTTAGCAAGTAGCATGCTTGGATGAAGGGCTATCAAGCATTTTAATTTTGATTAACCTTGACCCACTTTCAAGGTCACATATTTGGTCATTTATCATAAATTGACCTTATCTGAAACAAAAGGATAGGGTGGTGATATTTTGCAAGTTGCATCTTGAGATGAAGGGCTGTAAAATTTGTTCAACGTAATGACCTTATTGGACTTTTAAGGTCACAGGAGTGAAATGGTATTTATACGCCCATCAAATTTGACGGAAGTATTATGGTATGGGGTTGTCCGTCCGCCGTAATCTTTGTCTGGCAGTCTTCTCCTACATTTTTCGACCGATCTCTTTGAAACTTACTACACGTTGAAATCATGATATGAAGTTGTGTCTCCCTTAAAAGAATTTCGATTCAACAATTTTTCCAAAAGTTATTGCCCTTTGTTCATTTCAGTATTTTATTTTTTTGTCCGGAGATTTTCTTCTACATTTTTTATAGCATGTCAGCTAACCACTCTTAGAATGATGCAGATCCTATTTCAATGTTAGAAAGTATATAACACAATATATAGCATTCGACGGGCGGATATTTTATCATTGTGTCTTCCGATTCCAAAACTGTCTCCTCCAATATGTCTGTGTCGATTTTCTTGTCTCGGATGTGATCTCGTCTTTCCATATTTTTTATCTGGTTGACAATTTCGTCCACCATCATAAGAGGTTTTTTTCCATTGATCAATGAGTTACCATTGTGTCTAATAAATGTACTATTCAACTATTTAAGGCAGAGACAGCAGCAGATAAACTAGCAGCAGCAGCAGCAGCAATATACGGTAGGAATAGCTGACAATGTGGAAAATCCTTGCAATGTTACTATTACTGTTGTTGGTCACAAGGGAGTTGGAAAGCTTTGTTTCGTCCAACAACTCAAGCAGGAAGATATTTCGGAAGGTGGACCTGGCTTGACGGATACCGCTGATGTGTATGTCAATTATTTAGGCTACAACCCCGACAACGAGTTCAGACAGCAACTGGATGAAGATGGAGTTGTGAATTGAGACTGGTCATCAGCAACTAAAACAGATAATTGATTGATACCGAAAAGATGAAAAAACTCATGCTAAACCATCTGCAAGCACACCACAACAACTCGATGACAAACCTTGGGCAGCAGTACGAACTATTTTAGCATCTGTGTCATCCGCTGGTGAAAAGACAGGTAGCTGGAAAGACATATTTTAATAGACATATGTACAAATTATCATAGGCTATTGATTGCATAATTTAATTGTGCGTTTCTTTTTTTGTTCAGTATAATAGAGATGTTGGATAAAACATAACTTATTAAAGAACATATTAAGCAAAGCACCATCAACATAGTGCCTCAAAAATCGTTCACGATTTCAAACAATACTGCTCCAAAAGTAGGGGAATGGTTTACTTATAAGGTATATTGATAATCCAATTACTATATCTGTGCTTCTGGGATAACGTTAATTTTGTGTTGTGTTATAGTTACTGTACCGTCAATGAGATAATGATATTTTCTTTACAGGTTTCACACAGAAGCTGAAAAAGTTATTCTCGAAATCGTTACCTAAAAGAAAAAACAAAAGGTAAGCTGTGTTTGATCACACAATTACGGTAATGTATAATGACTTACCTCCTTCACCTATAGATAAACAGATGCATGGTAGTACTTGTGTAAATATCATTAGGGAATTATTTACGCTGCTAACGTGTATCTTTAAATGAAATGCATACTTCCTAATGGGATTGATCAGTGTACCATCAGGAATTATTGAGGACTGTATACCAGAAAATTATGCCGTTGTTTAAATAGTCTTGTTCGCCCTCCGCAATGACGGCGCATTATCATGACAGGGAATATTGGTATATGATATGCACTTGATCATACCTCAATGTGAATAACAGAATGTTCACTGGTCGAATATCAAATTATCCACTAAACAACGAACATTGACTGGGCGACAGTTTTCCGGTAAACAATCATTAGCATACAATCGTATCATGAGTATATTGGTTAAGACATCATCAGTTTATTCTAAAATTTCAAATTGTCAATAATAAAATAGTTTAATCAAATACAATCTTCCAATTACAGAAGAAAATAAAAATATCGCACAGAAATACTTCCTTTTTAGCTCACCTGGTCCGAAGGACCATGATGAGTTTATGCCATACCGCAGTTTCCGTCGTCTGTCCCAGGGGCCTGATGGGCGGGGCCAAACGGGGCAATTTGGCTATATTGATTTAAGCGACTTCTTCTCTGGAACTAAGAAATGGATATCAACCATATTTGATTGGAAGCATCCCTCGGTAGTGGAGATTCAAAATTGTACAAATAGTTTGGCTGACCCCCTAGGGGGCTGAGGGGTGGGGCCAAAAGTGAGCAATATGGCTATATTGCTACAAACGACTTCTTCTGTAGAACTATGCACTGGATATCAACCATATTTGACTGAAAGCATCACTAGGTGGGGGGATTCAAATTTGTACAAATGGTTGGGCTGACCCCCCCAGGGTGCTAAGGGGCGGGGCAAAAGGGGGGCAATTTGGCTATATTGCTATAAACGACTTCTTCTGTAGAATTATGCCATGGATATCAATCATATTTGGTCAGAAGCATTCATGGGAGGTAGGGATTCAAAATTGTACAAATGGTGGGGCTGACCCCTCCCCCCCCCCATGCTAAGGGGTGGGGCCAAGAAAAATGTATTACTTGGAAATGGTTGAGATCCCCACGGTATAACCATATATAAAATTGTGGAGTATAAAGAGAAGCATGCACATTTGCTTCCAGGATGGCCTAGGGTCTGGCCCTACCCTTTGAGATATAGTCCCTGGGTCATAACTTTGAAACGGTTGAGATCCCCACCCCAGAACTATATATACAAATGCTTGGCATTAAGAGACAAAAGTAGTCATGGCATTAGAATAGACCCTGGGGTCTGACCGAACCACTAGGGACCTAGTTTCTTTGTCACAGCTTGGAAACAGTTGAGAACCCCACCATATAACTATGCATATATAAATAATTGCTGAGTATAAAGAGATGAATGCACATATGCTTCCAGGATGGCCTTGGGGTCTGCCCCACCCTTGGAGACTTAACCCCTGGGTCATAACTTCGAAATGGTTAATATCCCCACCCCAAAACTATATATACAATTGTTGGGCATAAAGAGACGAATGCAGTCATGATATTAGAATTGACCCCAGGGTCTGCCCCACCCTTGCACACTTGACCCCTGGGTCATAACTTTGAAACTGTTGAGATCCCCACCCCAAGACTATAAATACAAATGCTGGACAAAAAGAGAAGAATGCAATCATGATATTAGAATTGATCCTAGGGTCTGGCCACAACCCTAGGGATCTAGTTTCTGAGTCACAGCTTGGAAACAGGTGAGATCCCTACCCCATAAACAAATATAATACTGACATACTACAAGAATTGGCATTGGAATCTGGCATATGGCATATTCCCCTTGATCTTTTGGAAAATATTTTGCCATGATTGCTTAGATATCTAGGTGAGTGATTTTGGTTAAAGGTTGATGTGCCCGGACTGGGGGCAGAGGAGCGGGGCACAAGAGGGGAAATAGAGGTAAATTTTTTAAAATCCTCCTTCTACAGTAGGGATAAAGGGGTTTAATCCTAAGATAGCTTGGAGTATCCTTGGGCCAAGGAAACTCAATTTTGTATTAATGGTGGGTGTAGCCCCCACCCCCCAGGGGGTCAGAGAGGCGTGGCTCAACAGGGAAAATAGAGGTAATACCTTTTAAATCCTTCTCCTACCATATGATTATGGGATTTTATCCCAATTTGGACAGGAGCATCCTTGGGCCAAGGACACTCAATTTTGTATAAACGGTGGGTGTGGCCCCCCTGGGAGCTTAGAAGCGGGGCCCCATAGTGGTAAAAATAGGTAAAACCTATAAATTCTTCTACGGTAGGAATAAAGGGATTTTATCCTAATTTAGTCAGAAGCATCATCCTTGGACTAAGGCGACTAAATTTAATACAGTGGGTGTTCCCCACCCCCCTCCCTGGGGTCAGAGAGGTGGGGCCCAGTAGGGGAAATAGAGGTAATACCTTTAATCTCTCGATCCTACCAGAGGGATTAAGGAATTTCATCCAGATTTGGTCTGGAACATCCTTTGGCCAAGGCGACTCAATTTTGTATAAAAGGTGGTTGTGGCACAGCTGGGTAATCTGTTTATAGTATATTTCCTTACAGGTTTTTAGCTCACTGGGCCTGTACTGTGGCGTCAATCGTCCGGCGGCCGGCTGTCTGTCCTTTGAGATATAGTCCCTGGGTCATAACTTTGAAACGGTTGAGATCCCCACCCCAGAACTATATATACAAATGCTTGGCATTAAGAGACAAAAGTAGTCATGGTATTAGAATGGACCCTGGGGTCTGACCTAACCACTAGGGACCTAGTTTCTTTGTCACAGCTTGGAAACAGTTGAGAACCCCCCCATATAACTATGCATATATAAATAATTGCTGAGTATAAAGAGATGAATGCACATATGATTCCAGGATGGCCTTGGGGTCTGCCCCACCCTTGGAGACTTAACCCCTGGGTCATAACTTCGAAATAGTTAATATCCCCACCCCAAAACTATATATACAATTCTTAGGCATAAAGAGACGAATGCAGTCATGATATTAGAATTGACCCCAGGGTCTGCCCCAACCTTGCACACTTGACCCCTGGGTCATAACTTTGAAACTGTTGAGATCCCCACCCCAAGACTATAAATACAAATGCTGGACAAAAAGAGAAGAATGCAATCATGATATTATAATTGATCCTAGGGTCTGGCCACAACCCTAGGGATCTTGTTTCTGAGTCACAGCTTGGAAACAGTTGCGATCCCTACCCCATAACCACATCTAATACTGACATACTACAGGAATTGGCATTGGAATCTGGCATATTCCCCTTGATCTTTTGGAAAATATTTTGCCATGATTGCTAAGATATCTAGGTGAGTGATTTTGGTTAAAGGTTGATATGCCCGGACTGGGGGCAGAGGAGCGGGGCCCAAGAGGGGAAATAGAGGTATTTTTTTTAAAATCCTCCTTCTACAGTAGGGATAAAGGGATTTAATCCTAAGATAGCTTGGAGTATCCTTGGGCCAAGGAAACTCAATTTTGTATTAATGGTGGGTGTAGCCCCCACCCCCCGGGGGGTCAGAGAGGTGGGGCTCAACAGGGAAAATAGAGGTAATACCTTTTAAATCCTTCTCCTACCATATGATTATGGGATTTTATCCCAATTTGGACAGGAGCATCATTGGGCCAAGGGCACTCAATTTTGTATAAACGGTGGGTGTGGCCCCCCTGGGAGCTTAGAAGCGGGGCCCTATAGTGGTAAAAATAGGTAAAACCTATAAAATCTTCTACGGTAGGAATAAAGGGATTTTTTCCTAATTTAGTCAGAAGCATCATCCTTGGACTAAGGCGACTAAATTTAGTACAGTGGGTGTTCCCCACCCCCCTCCCTGGGGTCAGAGAGGTGGGACCCAATAGGGGAAATAGAGGTAATACCTTTAATCTCGATCCTACCAGAGGGATTAAGGAATTTCATCCAGATTTGGTCTGGAACATCCTTTGGCCAAGGCGACTCAATTTTGTATAAAAGGTGGTTGTGGCACAGCTGGGTAATCTGTTTATAGTATATAACCTTACAGGTTTTTAGCTCACTGGGCCCGTACTGTGGGGTCAATCGGCCGGCAGCCGGCTGTCTGTCCGTCAATTTTTTTCTTTTGAACGACTTTGGTTAAAGAACTGGAAGCCCTAGGGTCATGATATTTGGACAGTAGGTACCTGGGATAGAGTGCTGTAAAGTTTCCTCATTAAAATAACCTTGACCTACTTTCAAGGTCAAAAGGGTCAAATATGTTAAAAATTTCAAACAACAATATCCTTAGAACCATTTGGACTAGAGTCATGATACTTGGGTATGTTATGTGGACCAGCAGTGCAAATCTTTTTCTCGGCTTCAGTGATGAGGTCTTGCCAAACGCATTTCTGTTTTGATCGCAGACATTGAGTTACATTCTGTAACATTGAACACTGGAATCTGAAGTTCTGTCAAAAAATAATAATAACAGTAATACAAAGATACCTATGTCTATCTTCTAAGCATATTATAGTTTGTTTTGTATTACTGTTGTTATTTATTTTTTAACAGCACTTCAGGCTCCTGTGCATTGAACAATTGAATAGACATGTACACCCAGTGTTATAAAGTCAGTACAGGCCTAGATTCATTTTTGTGGTAATCCTTTCTGTCAAAGGAAAACATAACAATATGGTTTTCTCTTCCAATATTTGTTTTCTTCATTGTTCAGTGTGTTGCTATACTATTTCTTTTTTTTTAATGCAGATATTAAGCTACATTTTCATAATAGTAAACAGTTAAATAAAAATCCTGTACCTATAGATTTCAATTGTATTTGATGGGAATTGATATTCAACTCTGTACTCTTTTTGTTTAATTTTAAATTAAGTCTGTAGACAACTGTAGGGCAAAAGCTGACCTTGATTAAAATACAAATATTTCCCATTTTAGGTGATCTACACACCAGTATCCGCTGGAAGTTTAAGGCATCACAATCAGAGAGATTGGTAAGATGGAATGGCGTTTGCCGTAAATGGCACAGAAAGGACTTAAAGATCATCTCACCATTCCTGTTGTTCAACATAGCAGAGGACACTGATTAAGAGATATTAAGTGGACGTGAAGAATGAAGAGATTCTGTGAATGGACAGTTATAGAAGTTTACCCTTATATACATTAAATGGACAGTTATAGAAGTTTACCCTTATACACATTAAATGCATAGAACTAGGAAGTTTTTGTATGATTTTTTTTATGAACACCAATTTCGTCTCGCATACGATGGAAAATTGAAATTTGATTTAAATTTGAAAGATTGAAAATAAGTAAACATCAATAAAGTTAGGTCATCACGAATGTTAAATGATTCTCAATCTTATAGCTGTTGGTGGTCAAAGTGGGGGCTGTCGGGGTATGAACTACTGTGAAATTGTCGTTAAAATACATATATTAGTGTGGCATACATGTTTTATGTGTATTATGTGTGATGATTGATAACCATTAATTTCCTTTGTATTAATATCTAAACACAGAACAATTCAATTAATTGTAATATACCAATAATATAAATACCATACAACTCTATCTTGAAATTCTTCCGAACACGAACATAGTCTTTGAAATCAGGCTTATTCAAGCAAGATAGACGCTTCAATTGATTTAACATTAAAATATTTGTTTAAAGAAGTTTAGCAAAAAATGATAAACTTTTTCAATTTTTTTCTCTGTTTTACAGTCGATATAAGGAATACAGGCCGTTTCCCTTAGCTAAAGAGTGCCTTATTTCCCCAAAATGAGGAGTATATTCCCAATGTAAATAAATATAATGCCGATATTTTAACATTTCATGTAGTTACACGCTTTTGTAAAATTTAGGTAAAAGAAACCCACTGGTTTCCTTATTCACTATATGATTTATTGGATCTTTTTATTGTTGTATAATGAGTGATTTAATATATATGAATTCCAAAAATAGTGCAAACTAAAAATGTAATTTGATACTTCCCATTTCAGGATCTGTAACATAAATTTAATGTATTCTAAACATAAAAAAGAGTGAAATTTACACAATATTATTTAATGAAAATGTACTTTCTATTTCATCTTTCACTGAGCACTTCAATTGGTATACTGTCTGTATCCCAAACATTTTCACTGATCAACAATGATATATCTATGACTTTACAGGATTATTCTTCATGTAATAGGCCTACTTATGTATTGGCTCCAATAAATGTTTCAACAATTTTAAACTCCTCTCTGTTCAATTTCATTTGTATGCCTTCTTTTCAAAGCCGTGTCCTTTTGACAAGCTTCTGTCACAAATTATATTCATCATGTTGGAAAAATTGATGGATCAAGGATATTTAACAGGATACAGGATACAGGATACAGGATACGGCTGACAAAAGGATATAGGATATAAATAGAAATAGTATATGGGTCAGAACCATTGGCCCCTCAGTCTTTAGCTACCCTTTATTTATGAATTACTGTCACTATCAAGATATAGTGATGATGGATTCAAATGATATTCAAGCTAGTTTTAACTCGAAATGTGGGCTTCAATGTTACCCTCGCTCCCAACATGTATACAAAGTTTGAAGCCCATTCATGAAACTGGCCGAGATATATTACGCAGATATTATTTGAGAATGGTCAAGTTGAGGTCACTGACCTCATTTTAGGTTGTGACCACCACCTTCTGATACCAATATATAAAGTTTAATGCCCATTTATTGTGCCGTTACAGTCAGTACCGTCATTGTTCTGTGAATGAAAATGTCTTAAGGGTGGCAGAGTTATTTCCCTTTATCCATGTAATTAGCATCTGTATCGGGTAGTGTCAATAAGGGGTCCTCCATAAAAGCGTCTTCAACCGACAACAAGCGTCTTCAAGTGACAACAAGCGTCGCCAGACAAAATCTTTTAAAATACAGAATAAAGTAAGCGACATCAGAAGATATGTTGTTAATATGACTATAATACACCTCTGTACCAAATTTCAATTTGATATTCGATAAAATGACCGAGTTATGATGAAATGAATTTTTACGTGGTGTGGCTCATGTGTGTATTCGCATGTAAAGTGAAGAAAGCGTCGCCAGATACTATCGTTACAATTACTCGCTTAAGTAAGCGACATCAGAAGATATGTTATTAGTTAGACCTTTATTGATATATATTCCAAATTTCAGCTCGATATTTGAAAAAATGATCGAGTTATGATTAATTTATTATTACGATCGGCGGCGTGGCATACATGTACATGTACGTGCGTGATTAAAACTCTACAGATCATAAAGCGTCTTCAGACTATATCTCTAAAATTAATCGATTAAGTAAGCGTCAACAGAAGATATGTTATTCATAAAACTATGATACACCTTTATACCAAACTGCAGGTAGATATTTGAATAAATGACTGAGTAATGATGTTTGATTATTACGATCGGCGATGTGGCACACGTGTGTGAATAGAACTCTACAGATTGTGAAGCGTCTTCAAACTATATCTCTAAAATGAATCGATTAAGTAAGCGACATTAGAGGATATGTTATTCATATAACTATGATACACCTTTATACCAAACTTCAGGTAGATTTGTTGAAAAATGATTGAGTTATCGTGAATTTAATTTTTCGATTTTACGAAGCTATACGCCGTGTCACATATGTGTACGTAGGGTATGATAATGTTCGTTCTTGCATAAATTTAAATGGTAAATTGTCTACTATGTTCGATTTACATGTCGGTTTATTACAAGGGGAATCGTTATCGCCCATGCTTTTTTCATTATTCGTTAATGATATGGAGAGTGAGTTTTTAAATTCCAATTGTCAAGGTTATGAACTACAATTGATTAATCTGTTTATGTTAATGTATGCCGATGACACAGTTTTGTTTTCGGAAGATGTTAACAATCTTCAGCACATGCTAGATTGTCTGCAATGTTACACTGATAAATGGAATTTAACTGTTAATTATGATAAAACTAAAATTGTAATTTTTAGAAAAAGTAAAAGAATCTTACCTACTGAAAACTGGACGTTTAATGGCAAGTCAATTGAGATAGTGGACAAATTTTGTTATCTAGGATTAGTTTTTTATTATAATGGAAGATTCACCGTAGCACAAAACACGTTGGCATCTCAAGGCAGGAATGCTTTTTATCTTTTAAAAAGAAGAATGAAAGATTTTATCCTTAATACTGAAACTAAATTATCTTTGTTTGATACATATGTGACATGCATACTGAACTATGGATGTGAGGTATGGGGTAATTGTTTATCGCCGCAAATCGAAAAAGTCCATCTTCTCTTTCTTAAAGATTTATTAAACGTTAAGAAAACCGTCAATAGTTCTATGGTTTACTTTGAGACAGGAAGTTATTCCTTACATATAAAGCGCAAAGTAGCTATAATTAAATACTGGTTAAATATTTTGAATACAAATAACTGTGTACTAAAAGCATGCTATGATGCACTACTTGAGCTTAATGTCAAAAAGCCGAATTGTAAACTTAACTGGGTTTATCATGTTAAAAATGATTTATATAGAATGGGTTTTAATCATATTTGGGATGTTCAATATGTTCCAAATGAAAAACAATTTGTGGAAATGTATACCCAACGTCTGCATGACGTATTTATTCAGGAATTACGTGGTGCGTTTGAAACATCTTCTAAATGTTATTTATATAGACATCTTGTCGATACTTTTAATATGCAATTCTATTTAGTAAAGCCTTTAACATTTAATAACAAAAAAATGTTCAGTCAATATCGCATGCAGGCGCATTCCCTTAATATCGAATCTGGACGTTATAATTGGGTTCCGAGAGGTCAAAGATTATGTTTTGCCTGTGACAATAATGATTTAGAAGATGAGATACATTTTATTCTTATGTGTCCTGCTTACTCTGTATTGAGAAACACATACATTAAGCAATATTGCTTCCGATGCCCCAGTGTGTATAAATTAATTGAATTATTGTCATGTAAAAGTATTAAAACATTACGTAGATTGGGTCTGTATTTAAAATATGCTACCGCCAAAAGAAAAACCCTCGTGTAGTAATATTGCTAAATTATGTATTCTTTTTATGTGATAATTGCTTATATGGAATTGTCCTCCGCCATCTTGAAAATTTGAAATATGTTTTGTATTCTATGTATCAATTAACCTATATGCTGATTTGCATTCGGAAATAAAAAAACTAACTAAACTAACTAAACGTAGGGCTTCGCATAGGTGAACACAGTTAGAACGGATTATATTGTAGAACGGTCAGCCACACTCTTGAAACGAGCATGTTACCAGACCCTACGGACGTGGGCGTGGTTTTACTCAGGGTCCGTTATATGTTCGTGTGACTAATCGATTTAATGTTGATGTTTAAAAAAAATCCCTATAGTTTTAAATGAATACTACACCAAATGTTAATGGTTATTGTTGTAAAGGTAAAGCTGAAAAATAAAATCGTTTTAAACTTCTAATGAAAGGACTGGCACACAGGTGTAAATATCGGTATCAAATACATTTTGTCTGTATACGTAAGAATAACTGTTTCTCAAATAAAGTCAAATGTCAAAAAAAAATCACATCTTGAATCCCGTCCTGCGGGCACACTTGTAAGTGTTGTGAAAGCGTTAAAAAGTTCTTCATTTAGCGTAATTGTCATCAGGTAACTAAGTTACAACTTTAGTTGTTTAACAGGACCGTGCGTTTCGGTGCGATTCGCGAGAACACGTTTTCGGGTCCCTAGTTTTTTGGCGATTGCTGCGGTTTTAGGTATTGTTAACATACCATTCGTAGATGTTAAAAAGTCTGTTTTCTTCCACACATGCTTTAGGAACTTGTCAACTTTGCGCGCTTTATCAAACGTTGACAATTCCCGCCACACGACTGTGCTCAACTTGAAATGCTGCGTTTGCGCGGCCAATTCATAGTCTCCGGTACCATGCAACGATCTACGTACGTCAGAGTACTGCGATTGTTGAATGGTATTCAAACGCTGAATCAGCTCGGGAACTTTTGATATTTTCCAGTCCCCTAGAAATTTGATGATGTGATTCATCGATTCGCAATTGTAAAGGGGGAGCTACGTCTATATCACTAATACATAGTGATGTATTCAAGAAGTTTATGGCCACCGATGTATCCAAAGTTTTCCTGCAGGTTGCGGGGAATGACATCTCTGCAATGTCGACACTGGAGGGATAGTTGGAAACATTGACCAACTGTCCGCCGTATTTTGGAGAAGCCCGACACCCCAACAATCATTATCGGGAGTATCTTTTACAGATACCGTCTACGAGGGATGACGGCCACAGACTATAACATCCAAGTGGAAGCCCTGAATGAAGTCCTTGCGAGGAAATACAGGCAGCACCCCAAGGTCCACTTCTGGTCCTTGCGGGGGCTGAGGCGCCTCAAAAGGTCAGACTTTGTAACTTGATGGGGTTCACCTGAACCGTACTATCACTTGGCGGTTCGCCAGACAGGTTCGATTAGCGTTGTTCTGTCAAAGACTGCGCTAGTCGCCTGCTTAAACGGCGAACATCTTTCTCAAAAAGTCCTGAGAAACTCGAAAATTACGCATCCCCCTCCCACTACATTAGTTATAATAGTAAAAAAAATAAAAAATAAACACATTGTTAAATGTATTCTTAATCGGTTACAGTTAAAATCTAAATTGTTCAATAAATACAATAATGTTATTCTTGACACAGCTGATTAAAGGGGTATCAATGTTTATATAGCAATATATTCTAACTGTGTTCACCTATGCCAGAGACGTATAACACATACACGTCTCTGCCCAAATGTGGAACGGCGTATAGCTTAATATCTGTACATCGTATGAATTAAATTCACGATAATTCAATCATTTTTCAACAAATCAAATTAAAATTTGGTATATAGTTGTATCATAGTTGTATCATAGTCATATGAATAACATATCTCATGATGTCGCTTACTTTATCAATTATTTTAAGAGGTAAAGTCTGAAGACGGTTCTTGATCTGTACAGTTTTATCAACACACGTGTGCCAAGCCGACGATAGTAAAATAATAAATTCACGATAACTCGGGAATTTTTTCATATATCTAAGTGAAATTTGGTATAAAGGTGTATCATAGTTATATGAATAACATATCTTCTGATGTCGCTTACTTAATCGATTATTTTAGAGATATGTTCTGAAGACGCTTCTTCATATGTTCTATTCACACACGTAT